CCCCAAAACCCCAAAACCCCAAAACCCCAAGCAGTTGAATTAATGAGAAAGAAGAGAAATTATTAATTTCAAAATATAAATAATCTCAATTCCCTCATACCAATGAATCGCACCAACAAATATTAAGATAGCAACAGTAAGTCATTCTTTGCTGACTAAACCTCTTTTTAGGAGGAAATCAGTCAGGTTTTCCTTTTGCTACTTAGCAACCTCAAAGTTATAACAAACCTCTTGCAAAGGATATCACATTCTATTAGACAACTTACAGTGAACTGAGAAAACTCCTGACTCAAAAAAGAGCTCCAGTCTCACTTAAAGATGCATAGGTAATTATTTATCAGTTTTTAATAATTTAATAGAAAGATTCCATTTTCTAGAGAGTTAATGAGCAATAGTTCATTGAGTATATTCAAAATAACCCAAAGGAAATAAGTTATGATGAATATCGTAAAGAGTTTGTTTTTCAAAGCAAATATGGCATTAAAAATAAAGAGGGTATTATTGTCAAAAAATCCCATAACTAAAAATATAGATCTAAAAAATCTTCTCGTCAATAATCCTGAGGGAATAAGAGAGGATGATGATCTAAGAGAGTGTTACAGAGGTCTCGAAGAGGATTTGGAAGATTTGAAGAATCTGGGCTGGGTTAGAGTTGTTAAAGTTTAAAGAGATCAGATTCTCTTCCCAATCAATAAAAATGAGAGTCATGTCGAAGTGAGACACAATATCAATCCAAAGATAAGCAATATGCTTTCTGACATTTGGCAGAATGTAAGTCTACGAGATCTTTTAAATTTAAAATGATTAGCTCGAGGGCATTGAAGACTTTAAGTATGAAAATATTTTGTTGGAAAACAATTTGTTGAGCTAATTTGAGAAAGAATAGCTTACTTATAGATAGAGATAAAGATAAGCTTTATTAGAGAAGGATAGCGAGGATTAAAATGGTATGGGAGGTCCAAGAAGAATGCGAAGAGCTAAGAAGCAAATGAATGACCATATTGACATAAACTTCCTTGATGTCTTATGAATTGAAGCAAAGATAAGATTGACTGTTATCTTAGTATACAGATAGGAATTGTATAAATAAAAGAAAGATAAAAATGATTGAACTTGTATTCAACTGGTAGATCATTAATTTAATGAAGAAAGTTGAATGAATATATAGAGTATTAGAGTTTAATCTTATATCAATTAACTTAAATATAAGTCGTGGTATATGATACATTTACTGTTACAATCTTCTGTGTTTGTGGTTTGGGGTGCCCACAATCATTTTGAACCGCAATTTAATAATCTAAATTTATATATTACAATCTGAACAAAGATATTTTTTTAAAAAGCAAATATGAGTGTGATTGAAGAATCAGCAGTTTAATAAAACTCTTTAATAATCATGTTGTATGATTCATCCGGGGAAAGATATTCTCATCGCAAAATATCAATCACACTCATATTTACTTACTCGTATGCATTAGTATGTTGATACTTACCATATATGGAGAAAGATAGACCTTTCCATATTAAATATTAAATTATATTATAAACTTCAATTAATCTTGAGCTTAAATAGTTGTGGGGTTTTGGGGTTTTGGGGTTTTGGGG